CAACTTTAGTACGCAGAGTAGCTGGGGAGTGGGAAGATGAGAACTGGTGAGTGGGTAGTACAAGTTGAATACGCGGAGTATCTGTGGAGCTGGAAGATGAACACTGGTGACTGTGTCGTACAACTGTAGTACGCGGAGTAGCTGGGGAGCTGGAAGATGAGAACTGGCTTGGAGTATCGAGGCTGTGGCGTGTTTCGTTCACGCCTAGAATCTCTCAGCGCAGATAATGAAAAGAAAGCACGTATGGAACATCGTCAAACGCATGAAACGAACTTGAGGCATTAGACCCAAAAGTCTTCCACGTCCGGTGAAAGTCATTGAGAACATGTCTCTGTTTTGGCCATCTTTGTATCCAGATCCGTCACACAGAAAGAAAACGAAAGAGAGAGAGAGAGAGAACCACAGAAATAGACATGTATGTGTTCAAACGTGTTCCACTCTGACTTCCTACGAGGTAGAGGCAAGTACAAGCTACTAGGAACAAATACATCGCTACTAGTAACAAGAAGTAGTAACAAGAAGCTGCTAGTAACCAAAGGCGTCGCTACTAGGAGCAAGGACGCTACTAGGGGCTCCTGGCCTTACTACTTACTACTAGTAAACAAGAAGCTACTAGTACTAGCAGGAAACCTACGTTTCGTTTAGTTTCGTTTAGTTTCGTATTTCGTTTCGCGTTTCGTTTCGCGTTTCGTTTCGTTTCGTTTAGCGTTTCATTTCGTTTCGTTTCGCGTTCGTTCCAGCTGCCTCTCTGCTGCCAACCCTGTATGACGCTTCCATCGCCGACAATGCAGCGCTGCTGGGCAGTCCGATTGCAGCACGCCTCCACGTGTCGTATCTCTCTCAGTACACACATGCAGACACATGCACATGCAGACACCCACGCACTGCCTCAACTTACACGAACACACACATACACAGACTCACATACACACGGACATAGACACACACACACACAGAAACCCACACACTACCTCAACTCCCTCGACTTAACACTTCACACTTAACAGATAACTCACACTCTGACATCCTACGCGATGAAAAATGCTTTCGGGCCACTCGTCGTCTAGTTTGTTCTTTTTTGATTTCGGTTCTCCGAGAATTCGTCGGTGGGTTAAACGGTTGGCTGGCACCTGGTGTGTTGAGATGTGTTGAGATGCGTCCATGTGGCACTGCTCAGGGTCCCAGCCTATCGCTCATGGACTCAGCAGCCTATCCACTCAAATGTTCCAGCAGAAACCTCTTGTAATCCGCCTTGGCAGCCACACCGCCGACACCACAGGGCATCACGGGGACAGGAAAACCACCCTCCTTGTTGGCCATGCCACCCCGGGTGGTCCATGGGTTTGGGGCACGGTCACTTCCAACACATGGCACGGTTGCTAGACATCGGGGGCCCTAACATCCCAACCAGCCTCCCGCCAACCTGAGAATCTGTGGCCTACCGGCCTATTGGGCCAATTTTGAACGAAGTCAATGAGCCTAAATGGTCTCCTCCTCCAAGATCATCCAAGCACCACAGTGACCGATAGTCACCCTGTGACAGATCACAGAAACAGTTCAATATGGTCACTAAATGGTCATCCAGACACCACACAAACGGTAATTAACGCTAACTATGCCCATCCGATCCTCACCCCCACGCTGCAGCCCTGCCCAAGTTCCCAAACGGAGTCGCGCCAACGCAAGCGACGGAAGTTGAACACTCTGTAATGTCGATGCTTGTTTCAAAAAACTTACACTCCCTTCCGGAATTGGTGTTTTACATCCTTTTACCTCTCCATATGGGAGTTGTTTCTTAATCACCAGATCTACATTGCGATTTGTCCGTGTTTCGCTTGGACAATCCCTTCGAAGCCGTCGACCGCGCTCGGCTTTTTCGGCAAAGTATTTTTTTTCCGGAGGAGTCTCCCAGCAGTACGTCATGAGTCGCAATACCGGATATATACATGTTTAATATATATATATATGTTTCGTGGATCTAGCAATATCGTGTGGATGACTAGACATGACTAGACCCCAGATCTCACCAGCAAGTCCTTCTGGATTTCTAGATGTTTGCCCTCCTGGAGTCCCAGTGTGTGGATCTTCAAAATCTTCAAAGCAACACCTGGGGACCCGACCCTCTAGACAAAGCATGACACATCAATAGATGCAAGGATGTAACATCGCAGATCGTCAAACAAATCGACGTTCAATGAATTTCAACCAACATCGATGAACAACCACCCATAATGAAACCATCCTGCTACACCATCAATAGACTCGGCTGTGACCTTGAAACATTGGCGGGATAGACGAACTGGCGCTCTTCAACCCAGTTGCCCCACGTTTCTTCTGAACCTCCTTCTGCAAAAGACCTTCCTTGGATGCACGAATGGCTGAAAGACCATGCTTCGGTTTGAAAAGCGTTGTTTAGGGCAGTCCTGGACGCCCAGAAAAGGCAGTCCTGCTTCTCGCGTGCCAGTCTTGTCAGGGTTCTTCGGCTGGAGATGGACCAGAATTGTGCAGCCCAGTTTTACTCTTATTACGTCTAATCAGTCTAATCAAGAGACCTCGATCTTTCAACAACAAATTTCATGAGTGAACAACATTATTGTCATTCCTTTTGATGATATATGTCCAGGCGCTCAAAAGTGTTGTGGGCAGCAATGGTGCAATGGCATGCAATGGCAAGATGCACTATCATAGTATCCTTGCGGATACGGGGCTGTCCTCGCCCTATCCGTGACGCTACGCGGAGGTGCGCGGCGCTGTTTTGCGAGTTGAACACTACCTCCTTTTGAGCAGCTCGCGTGGAGAATTCAGCCTCAACCTCATGTCTTCTTCGTCTGCTACGGGTCGCTGGCACGGTAGAGACGCCCATGGGCCGTCCGACCTCGTCCGTTCCCCGTTCTTCTCGCTCGCGGCTCGCAGCTCGCAGCAGTGCCAGGCAGTCGTTCCCGTGCGACGATTTGCTGGCCCCCCGCAGAAACTCCGGCAAATCCAGATATCTGGCATGGGCCTGGCAATTCTTTGTGTATGAAAACCTGCTGGATGCCTACTGGTCCAGGCTTCTTCATTGAAGCCAATCGTTCTGTGTCCATGAGAACAACCAGGATTTCTATGAAACAATTGACTTCTTGAAATTAGTGGGAAAACGGGCGGAAGCTACAGGGAATCTATGAGTGCCGTTTTTACATTCGCAGAAACTTGAGGAAGTGCCCAAACGTTCTTCATCCAAGCGTCGACCACCTCCACCTTTTGGAGGAAATGACGCAAATTGTTTTCTCCTCACGTCCGATTGCCATGGGCCGATCTAGGTCTCAAACAGGTTCGAGAAGGCATGATTCAGCGTTGTTATGATGTGCAAAGGGTATTCAGTTTTGTTCTAAAAGGTCACAGTAATCCTTTGGAGATCTCTCCCAACAAAGAACTGATCTTAAAGGGTTTTTCTTTCCGTGACGCGACCGGACAGATAAGCGATGAGGAGAGGAGCGGAGAGTCGATTTCCGCCCCAAGGAGATCGAGGAAATCGATGCTAATCTTTTCTTCAGGCACACCCGACCCACACATCATCACATCTTGGACATAAAAGATGTATTGAAACCATCTGCCTCTTTGTTCCGCTTTTGACCCCAAACAGCGGGGGCCTTAAAAAGGCATGGGTCCAGTCTCATCTACCTCGTCCGGTCTCGATCGGTGGTCCTCGCTGGTGCATGAGGCGGTTGGGTGCCAAGGGCACTCCCGGCGCTGGGCGTTGGAAGTTGAAGTACGAGGACCGAGGCTCCTTTCGTTCAAGGCCCACCGGCGCCATCGGCACGAGGCAAGTGGCAAGTGGGCTGGCGCCGTGGTCATGCGAGTCATCGCGGAGTGGTGTCCAGCCATGAAAGAAACGGCGCTGGTTGAAGCTGTAAACATGAAACGGCTTAGGGCCCCAACGGCTCGCGAAAACGACGAACAAGCGACGAACGGTCGTGCATCGCTACGAGTAACAAGGGCATTACTATAGTAGCAGAGAATGGCATAGAATGGCTACTATAGTTGCAAATTGGCTACTGTACTAGTAACTAATGCCCTTGTTACTAGTAGCGATGCACTTGTTCCTAGTAGCTTTCTGCCACTCGTTCCCCCAGCATCTTGCTGTCCTTTGGAGGGCCCACGGCATCGGGCTTGGCCTCGTCAGCAAGCTGCAGCTCAGGCTTCCAGGGAGCCGCCGCATGGAGTGCAATGGGCATGGCTGTTGGACCCGTCGTGGAGCAACAGTGGAGTGGTTTTGGGCCAAAGAGAGCTCGGCGGTCTGGGCTGTTGGAGGTTCTGGGATGAAACAAGGACAACGCTCACAAGCTGAGATCATGAGCTGAAAACAAAGTTGTGACTTGTTAGGGTCATTCGGGTTCAGAGTGGATTTTGTGTGGGTCATCTTCCATATCGGAGACTGTTTTGAAGCAAAGAACAACGCAAACATGCTATCCAAAGGGCCCTGGCAGACCAGGGCTCTAAACACGATACCATGTCAACATCTACCACCTTCCCAGGCCTTTCGTGGAACTCTCCGGTCAAACAGGGACTCTTTGGGACGTCCGTCGCACCCGGGACTGGACGGTGCGGCTCGCCTGCTTCAGCTTGCGATCCAACTCCTGGGCGAAGAGGACGGTAGAGGACGTGACGAACGGAGGCATCGCGGCATCGCTACGGAGCGAACCCCCGGACTCCTTGGCGAAGAGGACGTTCGCCAACTTGGACTGGCAATAGGCGCCTGAGGTCGAACGACGCGAGCGCACTGAGGAGGGAAGGAGACGAAGGGCGGCCCCAGCACTAGGTGAACGACTCGGGTGTGGGGGATCGTACGTGGTCTGGTCTGGTGAGGGGAAGCGCCGGGTGTCCACGTGGTGAGGGGAAGCACTACTCTAAGCATGGCACCGAAAAATAGATCAAATGAAGATCTGATGAACTTCCCAGACTTGCCAATTTCTCTGACAGTTTGAAGGTTCAGGGTGCCATGAAGGACAGTCGTCATTGGTCAAGTTTCATGGCCCGTGCGAAGCGTCCTGCCACCATTTCCGCTGTCCCATTCGTGGGGCCATTTAGACTGCTCTCTTCAGCACAGAACTGGCTTTGGAAGCCTGGAGCAACCATTAAAATTGTGGCTATAAAGGCTATAATAAACAATAAAAAACACACCTCCCAGTTCCCATCATAGCCACAGTGACATCAATCCCCCTCATTTCCCATCTCCAAAGGACCATCGCCGCTGTCTTTTCTCCCTCAACCCCTATCAATGCCTCGGATTGATCAGGTTTTGGTTCGCAGAAGGGGTTGGACTTTCAAAACATGGTGGGGCCCAAACAGATTCCAAAGGATTGAACCGGATTGACCTCCTAGGGGGGTTGAACTTGATAGGTGGAGGGTGCAAATCCCCAAGTTGGGTGGAAAAGACTCAGTCAGTGTGTCCGGTGCCATGGAAGCTCCGAAACGACTGCAATTTTCAAGGTTTTTTCATGGATGTCCTCCAAGCTGATCCACCAGAAATTGGTTGGACATCCCGTGCCGGTAGAAGATCTTGGAGCACCCCCGAGCAACTAGGGGCTTCTGTCAGAGCACCCCATTGCGTGTAGCGCTCTGGCGCCATCAAATCTCCTGCAGGTTGCGCACAGCAGTCTGCAGTATAGATATGCATCAGTGATGTGAGTGATGTCCGAGCTTGGAAATAATCGGGGGCTCGCTTTAGCACATTTGGTACCATTGGATCCTGTTGGTGGTACATGGAAGGTGGTCTTCCACTGGGTCTCCCCTCTATGCACCCCGGCCGGCCAGGACTGTCAGGACGGTCAGGCCATCTATGTGACACTCTCTGCATCTTCAGTCTGCATATTATGGACGCCTTCGTTCCCTCCAAGATACAGTCATCGCACGGTAACGAACGGCAATGATGCTGAAAACAGCCACTGGTCATTTGCGAAGCCTGCAACTTGCTTCAGGTGGTCATGTCATGACGTATTTCACAAATTGAGGAAACCAACTACTAGAGTTACAAGCTCCTGAGAACAACCATTCCACCCTTGATGTTGCCAGCTGGTCAGATGGAGTTGCCACCCTCGGTGACGGATCCTGCTGGTCTGTGTGTGGGATCTTGTTTCAATCAATGGATCTGTTTCGGCGCCCTCCAAAGGCCCATGTCAAAACGTGGACATGGAAGACACCTTTGGCCAATAACATAGATTAAAACAACCAACCGTAGGAATTCAACACATCGTTTCTGGGTTGTGTCGTTCGTGTTGTCCCCCTTGTCCCACCTTTCGCCTTCGAACAGAAACACCGGCAACCGACCGAAACGGCCATGCTTCGTCCTCGGCGAGTTCCGCGTCTCGTGCGGGGGTCCTTCCATGAGTTCCTTCGTTGCGCCCAGGTGTGCCGTGCTGGACAGCACCACGATCCGGGCCTGAGGTGCCTGGCGTTGGATGTGAAGATGGTTTTCCTGTAACATGCCCACTATTAGGGTGGAGGCCAACGCTATTAGGTTGGAGGCCATCGCTCTTATAAGCTCCCAGTAACATTCCCGTCCTGAAATATTTGAGGACCCTTGTGATTCTTCCAGGGGGGTGTCAGTGTCAGTTGAAGAAAAGTCAGTTGCTTGATGATCTCACATAGTTGACGTGTTGGGATTCGAGTTCTACAATGTTCTACAGTGTCTACAGTCATCTACAGTCTCTGTTCTCTAGTATGTCACTGGGCACATCATTGGCATGCCTCATTTCTTGTGAAGCTAATAGGGGTTATCTGCTGAACGGGAGGAGATCTGAACTGACATGGCAAGCACGACAGGCTATCTGCGTGGAAGAAAGCTGCTCTATTTGGTGGTGACTTCCGTCTTGCAGTGACTGGTGTGGCCAAAGCTTGGGGCAGGCATGGCTCATTCACTGCAACTATGTCGAAGGAAACACCAAATAGCTCTACAGCACGAACGAAAGGAATATAGACCATCATGATCCCCAACCAAATTCAATTCTATCATTCCATATCATAACTATAGACTACCTTTGACATGCTTCGTGATTGTCATGTTTCTATTGCCGGAGGCCACCAAACCCATTTTTTCGGTCTTCCCGCCCTGAAATCAGGACCAATCGTGGCTCCCAGAAGGCCCTGCGCCTTCTCCAGCAATGGAAGGAGTTCGCCCGTCAAAGCCTCAGTTGTGAACTTCGCCACCACTGGGGGGTTGCTGAGAGTAACTGGCGTTGGATGAAGGGGGAAACCCATTCCCAAGGTTCACATAGCAATTTTTTGACCGAAAAAGCCGAAGAAAGGATCTGAACATGAGCCACGGCCAAAGTTATATATACAAGGAGTTACATGGATCACCTGAGTCAATGGACACCCGAACTCCGTTTTGTGGTGTCCATTATGCTGGCACACTGACAAAACAGATCCCAAACAAAACATTATATATTATATATATGGAACAATCATGCGATGCGGCTACATGGAACAATTTCGCGCCTGTTTTCTCTTCACCACCACCACCACCACCATTAGGCTCTCATCGTTCCAACCATCTCCACCCCCCCACATCCCTACCATCTTGGGGGGGTGGGAGGTTCAAATCCCAAAATGTCCAGTTTCATTCTTTGACTCTTAAAAAAGCGCGCTCCCACATTTCCGACGACTGCGGTCACCTTTTGCTCCACGGAGAACACTCAGATCTCGCCCCTCCGCTGGAGCTCCGCGGTCGCCTCCTAGGCTCGACCGAGAATGGTGGCTACAGTAGGTGGCGTATGGCTCATCGGTGGGTTGCGCCAAACACGTGGGTGGTGAGAGCCTGTGGGCATTTGGCTTATCATTCTCTTTGGCTTGGATGGTTGAGCCCTGCAAGATGCTCCAAAAAGGGAGCGGTCCTTTTTTATTTTTTTTTGTGTTGAGATATTCAAGATCAATCAAAACGAACACATGCTCCTTCATGCTCGTCCCCTTTCCCAATCTGCTGCCGACATCCGATACGCGGAGAAAGGAGAAATGGAAGGGTCCACAACTCTGGATTTGCGGATGAAAAGCACCTGGAGAATGAACCATCATAGTCCCATATGGGAAGAAACATAAAAAAGAAACGACACTCCACAAACTATCTGATACGCAAAACAGGTGTAATTATCCAACTGACCGTCGCCACAGGCGTAGTCCCAGCGGTGAACACCAGCAACCCGGGAAGCACCAGCAACACTAGCTCTAGATTTTGGAGAACAACAAAGAAGCCCACGGCGGACAATGCCGGAGACGCGATGTCTTTTCTTTCCCTCCTCCTGTCAGACGAGACGACGTCGATGGCACCGTCGTTGCTTTCGTTCGATGCTCGGCTCGGCTCCTTCAAGATCTCCGGCACCGGCCGCACGGGCACGCCCAAGCTGTCTTGCCGCGCGCGGTCGAAGCGTGTCACGGGGCGGAGCTCGCCCTCCTGAGGGAGTGGAGATCGGTTTCAGGATGCCACCGAGGGAATGACCAGGAACAGTGGATGAATGTGGTTAGGATGATGGTTAGGACAGGACCTCCGACCTTGTTGGTCATGGGGCAACCCAAGACATCCCAAGACCACGTTCAAGACCAAGCTAGCTTGGTCATTTGTGCAGTGCCGATGCTCTACTTTGGAGTATGATATGATAGTCTATGATAGTCTGATAGTCTGCGGAGGTAGTGGTAAATCAATGTAAATCATGTATGATAGGTACATATAAGTGCATCTATACCAGCCATAATCTTTAATAGTAGTAGAATATCAGAAAATCTGATTCCCAGGGAACCCCCACGACTTCTTCCAGGGGGGCAATGCCTTCCAGCAGCACCTTCCAAAACAAGACGAGTTACAAAAGGTTTATGAACAGGTGCCTGGTCCCACCGGTGTTTAGTAGAAGGTTCTGGGCGTACTCCCGGTTGCCGAAGGTCCATCTCTACTCCAGAACGGAGCAGGTGGCCCGGCTGACTGCCATGACCCGCCGTCAGTCACGGTGACAAAGGCAGCCCATGAGAGTGGAGCAATACACGTTCGGGGCCATGAAGAAGTAGTGAGAACGCGCACATTGATAGCTGTACTGTAGCATATTGTAGCATATGATCACTGTACCATTAAATGCGCCATGAATTGAAGGATCTTGAAGCTTTACAAACAAGTACAAACAATAGATCGATGATGACTCAAAACCCCCTGCCAGAATCCTTTTGCATCTCATTGCATCTCCATATAAGGGTTCTATGAATCATCCGAAAGAAACGACCAACCGTTCGGTGTCCGCCCACTCGGTGTCCATGCCGTTCCACCGCTCCGAACGGGTCTATCTTGTACCATCTTGCCTCTTAAGTATGCAAGCATTGGCTTGATTTCAAGCCAGGGTCCACATGTCCCACCCGTGAATCAGCGATCACCCTGCCCAAAGAACCGCAAAACAGGCTGAGACAATCAAGCGTCGACAGGCTCAGCAGCCGGCATGGAGGGATAAAGGCTTTTCATCAGCACAGCCAGGTCGTTCCAATGGATGCTGCAGTCGAGACTCATGAAGCGCCCAGCCTTGTCCTCGAGCGATACGGTGCAGCTATTTTGGTGCCAAAACACCGATACGAAGATCTTCTTTTTGGGATGAAATTGCATGGCTAAAGGCGAGCAGCAAAACTAACTATATATTAATATAATATAACTATTCTACATTGACATGGCAGTGCAAAAACATGGGGGAAGCGCTTTTCTCTGCCATAGATTATCCTAAACAGGTTTCTGGCCTCATGCACTCTACACCGTTGTTTTTTGCTTCATGCGCCTCCATCTCCATGGCAGCCACATGCTGCGCTGCACAATCGCGCACGTCAACAAAGCTCATGGAGTCATTCTGACACTTCGGATGCCCAGGCACACCATTTTTCAACCTTGGCTCGGGCGATCGGATGCCGTGGTCAGAGCTCACCAGATGAAACATCAGAGCTCACCAAATGAAGCTCACCCTTCAAATCCCCCCGAAAAAACTGGGAGCATCGGACGACCGCGCGGCTGTCCGCGGAAACGAGCCGAGCCCGGGCTCGACGTCTGTCCCACTGAGCCCCCACGGCGGGTCGACCGGAAACCTCATCCGGCAACGAGGCGAAGGCAAGGGAGGCAGTCAGGAGGCAGTCGCAGGTTTGGTGAGAAACACTGAAAGCGTTTTGGAGTCACTGAAATCGCCAAAGCACCAGCCCCGAAACGCTCCCATGGTCATGTTGACCTCGGGCTGCAGCATAGGGCCCAGCACCATGGTGGGGCAAATGGTTGCCAGCCTGCAGTGTGGATCAGTAACTTGGAATTACTTTGCATCAATTTCGGTAGCATCTTGGGGTGAATCTCAACCTACGAGTTCCATGCTCAGTTCGACCAGTTGCATGTTCGTTCGTTTCTCCGGCCACAATGCCAAGGCTGGGAAGCCGCCCAGGCCTGACGCTTGGCATCTCCTTCGCCACAAAATCAAAGGCAGCACGCTCTGCCAAAGTCCTCAGTGCCAAAGAGAGAGAAGCGAAGCGAAGCCAAAATCACCTGGGGTGGGTGAGTTCTCATCTTCCTGATTTAGTTGGCTTTGACGCGAATGATTCTGCAGGATGCTCATTTGATGTAATGCACGTAGGGTACCAGGGCAATTCACCTGAACTGAGATAAACTTTTGGGACACGGTCCACTTCAGACTCGATATCTGCGATTTTTTTTCCTGCTTTCGCGGGTTGAAGAAGTGCCAGCTCATTCTCTGGTTTCTACTGACCATATCTGACAATCGCATTTATAATCGGTATAAGTCATTGAGTCATTGCTTGAATAGGTGATTGTTGGCAAGGATCTGGTTCCCTCAAAATGTGATAACGGTTTACTGACCTGTGACTGTGGTCAGTCTGGTGTCCCAAACCCCGACTGAAGCCATTGAAACCAGTGTTGTCACGTCGATGGCTCAACAAAATCAACCAACCAACAGGGCTTTGTTGGTTGATCCATGTGAATCCTGTAGCTTTGTTGGTTGATCCTATGACAAAACCCACAGCATGGTTCCAACAAAGCCAGCATCTCCGGCTCTTGTCGCGCTCATCCGGAGCTCATTTCCCCGAAAAACTCATGAGACAAAGCACGTACTGTGGCTCTACCCTCCGAAAACATGTCAACATTTGGCGGGCTGCAAGTCTAAGACTCCAAGATCATCTTCATAAATAGATACCCTCAAATGGCACATGCCCCAAGAGAAGTCAAATCCAACACACACACACAAATATGGCTATATACGTTATACGTTATATAACATACACATAATATACATTCCTACCTCGTCTTCCCCCCAGTCCAACTCTGACTCGACTCCCACACAACAGCACATGTTTGCGTCATTTTGCGTCCAAGTCTCTTGGACGCTCCATAAAAGCTCCCCCGCGCCTTCTGTTCCTCGGGGTCCGACCAATGCTCCTCCGACTTGAGTGGTGGCTCCGGGACGGGCGCGACGGCCGACATGGAGGAGGTGAGCACCACCGTCTTGACCTCAGCTGCACTGAGTAGCTCAAGGGTACAAGTAGGGGTCGCAAATGGGTCAAGGGCTGGGCTGGGTACTGATGGGGTACGGACTGGGCCTCAAGGATCCTTTTTCGGGCACCGGTTCGTATGCAAATGAAACTTCCACCGGCACCTCGCACCCCCAAGAAAAAGACCACGAACACATCGCAAGTTACGCCTTGGGTTGGATCAACATAGAACCTGAAAACTCCTGGGTTGGAGATGAATTCCTCGTCACATCGCCCGTGCCATCAGGTTCCCACTCATGTGGGCCCTCGGAACCGGGGTGTAAACCTCAAAGGACCTGAGGCGTGGGGGCACAAAGGCCTCAAAAGAAAGTCTGTGCAGGTGTAGTCACTGACACCTGAAGTCCATAGAGGTGACTGATCACTTGCATCACACCCTCCAAACAAGCATGGAAGTGGAAGCTGAGCCTGTTCGTAGAGGAAAACCACCGTTTTTACCAGCCGGGGCCATGTTCCACCTTTCCAGGTTTGTTGGATGGAGGGTAGTCGTCCATCAGTGACCTACTCTACGCGCATTTGGACTCGGTGACTCGGTCGCGACCTTCCTCGGTCCAAGGTGCTGTGCCCGCTTTCTGGCAGGAGCGCAGTACGTTCAAAGTGCCTTGCGGGAGCTGAAGGACCGGTCATGAAACTGCTTGGTGTTTTCGACCCAAATAGGAGTGAGAGGGTCCAATCATCACCAAGTAAGGGTTGAACATAAGAATATCCGAATCCATCACCTAGTCAATCGCAAGTGGAACAGCGTGGCCAGCGTCACTAAACTTGCCCCAGTCGCCGCGTGAATGAGAGCAGGGAAAGCAAACAAGCAGTGAGTCATTCGAAGTCAGCAAGCGGCAACAAAAAACTGCCCTGCTCAGCCGACTCGGCTGGAAGCAAGTGATGTCCTTCGGGTTTCCTCCCCGACTTGAACATCGTCCATCCGTGCCACATGAGCCATTTGCCGGCCCATCACACTTGTGAACTGGAAGCGTAAGCAGTAGCGGTGAACCACTCGTTTGGAATCTGCCTTCGTCACCAAGATCCGGTGCCTTCGCTCGACCTAGTGACGAAATGGCTTTACATGGCTTTACACTCGGACGCATGATGCTATGACATACAAAGGCACGAGTACATAGGTGTCCTCTATTAGGTGATCTGGGCGACATGCTTGTTTCATTTGGTTCGTTGTTCCATGTGGGAGCGTCATTCCACGTCGACCTTGGGTGATTTGGGCCTCCTACAAGTTCCAAAAAGTCTTCCCCACCCAAATCCCAGCCCATCCTTCCTCTCAAAACCTTCATTTGTCGGACCGACACGTCTTCTCAACCAGCGACCTCCGACCTCCCCACCGCCTTCGATGGCCGGTCTCAGCACCAAGGTCTCTGGATCCTCCACGCCCTTCCCCGGGACCAGCGGCGAGGCGGTGTGGAAGACGCCCCGGCAGCCCTGGACGGCCTCGTCGAAGGCGTTCGGCTCCAATAAGCTGGCGCTGAAAAGGCTAAGCCTTTCAGAGGCGCCTGCGACGGGGGGTGGGAGATGTTTTCGTTCAAAACGTGAAGGGTGATGAAGGATGATGAAGGGTAGTGGGGTGTAGTGGGTGATGAGGAGGGCTACTCACCTCCTCCAAACTGAGATGGTTTGGGTTGATAGCAGCTGGAATTCTGAATTCTGGACAGTCTTGAAGCCGCAAACCTCAGAACGCTCTCAGAATTCCAGCTCCAAGCTCACACGAGGCCAAGCATGCTCCAGCAATCCCACGGTTTTGGGTGGACAACTCCCATCCTCACAAACGGCTCCGCCGGCTTCAGCCGCCGCACCTGGCAACGCCATGAGGTGTTCCGTCTTCCGCGGGTCCTTCGCATCCCTCAGCGTGCCGCGGACCACGTGGCCCCGCTCCAAGAGCAGCTTCACCTTGGTGAGGTGGAAAGAACCAGGCGAAGTGGCAGATCGAGTTGGCTCAAAAGATGCCTCCTTTCGGAACACTTGGGAGTGTTTTTTGGGCAAACCTGGGTGTAAGCCAGCACTTGGGACTTGAGCTTTAGCTGTCTTGAGGGTATAGGGGGAACCACCAAAGTTGACCTGCACAACTACTGAGTGACCACTGTTTAGTTTCAATTTTCAAACACAACATGGTCCTTTTTCTTGCGGAGTCGATCTTCTCAAGCAGGATCAATACATCAAGTCTATTTTCATCAGGGGCTTTGATCACATCTGCCTGTTACAGAATTGGACTCCTCAGGCTGGGATCTTTTTGTCGCCCTATATTTTCTCAGTTTCTCCTATAATATAGTGATATATATATATATATAGTGGGGGACCTCCCTTTGAGTCCGGAATCAACAGCCAGAGCTAGTAGGTTGACACACTCCGACATGCCAGGGCCAATTCACCCTGACGTTGATGTAAGCTGTGTCTACCCACACAAGAACACCAAGACTTCCATGCGGTCCAAATCCACCACACATGCGGACCCAAGATCGGGCCAGGTGGTGTCCATCCGAGGCGTTCCGAGTGGCAATATGGGAGGCGATAAATCCACCAGCACCTGTGACACACACCGGCGCCACACTGGCCATGGCGGCGGCACCAGTCACCCTTGTCTAAGCCTGTACTAGCATTCTTGAGAGGGCAAGTGAAAGGAGAGGTAGACGTGGCTGGCACACAAAGACACCCACACAGGTGTTGGTCGGTTTTCAGTTTGGCGTGTGGCACAAACAGAGTATTTTAGGTTTATTCCCACTTCATGTGAATATGAACATTCGATTCTCTCTCCTCTTCTGTGTCCATTCGCGGACACCCATGGCTATTCTTTTCATGTCATTCTTCCATTGCCAAGAGGTGATACACAAAAAGTAGACACAAATAATTTGGCTGCCAAACACACGCCCAAATGGAACACAAAATGACCTCTAGCTTTCCCAGGGTGTGGCTGAAACTCTTCCTCAGTCAAGATTGAATCAAATCATCCTCCCAAGAAGGCAATCGTGGGTTGGATTCCCGTCATCCAAAAGTTCCCACCATCGAAGCTTGCTGCTACCTTGATTCTGTTCTTGAAGGACATCATGGATTGATATACATGCATATACATGCTCTAATGAAACGGAACTTGCCCCAACTATGCTCCACAACTCCTATCTCACTGGGGCCCAGTATAATTGAATTTTCCATGTCTCTACCGTAGAGTCTCTACCACCTTACGACACCAAAACGGTCTCCTCACACGAACCTCACTGCACCCAGCAAGCATGACCAACCCTTCCGTTCCCAGCGAAGAATACCAAACCCACCACCGCGCTTGGCGCGAAGAATTCCCTGCTTTTCTGGCCAAATAGTCGGATGCCACCATGCCTGGAACACAGCATGTAGGTTAGAAGTGTGTCGGGAAAACAGCCTCTGCCATTGGTCGAAGGTGTTTAATATTGAAATTGTATGAAACTGTTGTAAAGGTATAGGCTAAGATAGGGTTTACGAATTAACAGGAATTGCAAGCATTGGTGTTTCGGGATGTATCATGAAACATGTTCTATGATTGTCTACTATTCCGGTTTTTGTGGTGGGGTTTATGGTCTTTCCCTAGGCTTCATGCAGCAGTTTGCAACGTGATGAAGAAAGTGTCCAAACTATATCGGCCCTTGGGATGGGGATTTGCCGCACAAACCACAAGACTGACTTGTAAGACACATGTGAAATGAAGCAGCATTGACTCATTGATACATTGACCCACAAAGGTGCCAGAATTACTTTGTCCTCATTTTAACAAACGAATCATCTCCCCACACGAACTGATTCCACTTCCATTTCCCCATGTAAATCTCTTACATTCTTACCCTTTGGGACCCCCCCCCCATGCCTCAGTGTTTCTTTCCCGAGTCCCGTAAGGCGGAGGTGGCCACGGTTTCAAAGCCCAGATGTCTTCACCCTCCATGATTTCTTCACAAACAGCTTCTTCCACAAACAGACCAAATTTGCGCATGCAATTGCAGCATTTTGGAAGAACCTTCCCTAGGGATCCACATACCTTCTCGGAAGGTACGACTGGGCCCTCCTGGCGCCCCCTAAACCATCTTCATCCACGATGGTTTTTCTTGTCCCCACCTTCGCCCACTGAGCGGGTCCAAGGTCAAGAGGCTAACGCTGGCCCTCAGGAAGTCCACGCCATGCCCCTCCAGTCCAGAGACGGCATGCACATAGGGCCACACGTAGCTGGACGGCATGGTCTCCAAGAAAGACCTCGTCGTTTGGAGTCAAACCCGTAGATCTTTGGATTTCTTATAAGTAACCGCGCCTCCCGAGAAACCATTCCAAGGTGCTACAGAATTTTGCGGGGGTGTCAATTTATGTGTGCTATGCTAGCGGAATCCATCAAATCTCCCAACATGCGACTCGCGCGATTGATTCACCAAAAAGACCCGATCAAGTACCAGTACCATCATTCTTCCCGAACTCTTCCCTTGGATTTCAATGGATTAGTTTCCGAGTTTCCATTGTTCGTCATAGCTCCACCAACTCAAATCTGCGCCCAGTCACACGACATGTGCCATGGTTCTGTTCAGCATGTCCGGTGTACATTGGTCCGCCTGGCTCGGGTCGGGTGGCGTTCGAACGCCACAAGTGGTGAGTTTTACTCCCCCAGTCGTACTGCAAGCTATATGGAAAGACACGGGGCTTTGTAAGGTCCACCAGTTCGGGGGTCTGGTCTCTAGAGGCTCACGAGGTCGAGTCGCAAGGATGCCGGAACAGGAGTTCGTGGAGGAACATGCGGAAGGACCACATATACCGACGCAGTGGAAGTTAGAATGCCAGACCATTTTCCATTTTTTTTGGCCAGTTGATATGGAATGTGTACCGGTATTCTAACTTTCACTACGTCCGATTGAGAGACCTAAGTTGATGGTATCAGGAGGCTGATCTAAGTTGATGGTATCAGGAGACCTAAGTTGATTGAGAGACCGAAGTTGTAGTAGTCATGAGATGGCTGCTGGAGGCTGATCTAAAATGATCTAAATACAAATGCCCGGCACGCAAAGCACTCCATCTCTTATACTGTAAATTGGCCCGATATATACTGTTCCCGTGGCGGTTTTTTGTTTTTCAACAGGTGCATGATCGTCGGAGGGCCCGGGGTAACATTCTAAGTGTGTATGCCCGGCTCCCCCAACCCCGGCAGGCCGGGTAGCTACACTTGGCATACCACAAAACTGGGTGCCGGGTTCCAAACATAAGCCTAGCATTTTTCCAAAACGGCATTCTAACTTCCGCTGCGTCGATATAGGTTGTCTTTTCTTGTTTGATTAATCAATCTCGTCACACATGCAACCAATGCCTTCGTGAGCACCACCATGATCTGGCGCTCCCGTTCCAACAACAAGTCCCAAAGCTGCTCCTCGTTGGTGCATGGGAAGGATCGCCCCCCCCCTCGAGCGCCCCCATTGAAAAGCGTCTGCAAACACTTGTCATTTATATAATTTATATACTCTCCGTGGAACTGACATGGAATTGGAAGGAACATGCTTCCAAGGGGCCATGCCATCCACTTTCATGTTAGTTCCAGGGAGTGTAGACATGAAAAATAAGTCTTCATGCATCCAGTTATATTTTTTTCCATCTGTGTCTACCACATGCCACAGCCATTGCTTTGAGCTGCTCCGAACATTCCGAACTTGCTCAACCCCTGTTTGGGATGTGCTTGTTGATGCTTTTTGGGAGGGAATGTTCTCATTGACAGTAACTTTATTAAGTCCGGGGCGGCAGCAGCAAATCAATGTTTGCTCTGTCGCCATGTCGCAGTGTCAATTCTTGAAATTTACAATCTGCACCAAACAGTCCTTGTGATCTTTCATCCACGCCAACGTAGGGTGGGTGTGCCTCCAGAACTCTCCAGAAGTCCAAAACCATCAACATCCATCCAGGATGTAAGTCTATCTCTTATCCAGTCCTACCCCTCCTTCTTTGGCCACCCCCAACTTTTCCACGTTTCCGACAAAGGCGCGTCGGAGGACTTCACGCCCACGCGCGCGTCCACCAAGGAGATCACACGTTCCAGGTGGTCGGCGTTGCTCCTTCAACCGCGCTCCGCTGCAGGGGAGACGAACAGGGAGACATGTGTGTTTGTGTTTTATGTATTTATATTCCATATTATTCAATATTTCTTTTGGGGGGTCTGAGTCTGGAGCCAATTTTTTGACTTGGTTTGCAACCATGCCCTGTTGGGGTGATGGTCTTGGAGTGGAAGAACATGGTACCTGCACTACCCTGAAAAACAATGACTATACCCGTTTGGATATATTCACCGTTAATATCATACATCGATGACAGGTGCCAACTGGCCCCCAAAAATCAGCCTGAACGACGAGGTCTCAAAGGGTGACAACGCCAAGCGGGTTTCTGATCCTTTTGTCTCGTCCTTTTGAACTGCTTGAAGGGAACATCTTGGCTTTGAAACCATGGCTTTGATCTGGAGAACTATAGGCTTCCTGGGTTTCCTGTAGAATTTCGCTTAAACCAGTTCTGAGATCTTCACCTCCTCCAGCTAGGTGAGAGACGAGGGGAACCTCATGAGTCTTGATGAGTCTTGAGTCCATCCTTTCTCGGGTCAACAAATAACATATATCATATATCACAAGTACCATGCAGGGAGATTCCGATGATTGGGTCCCGAAAAAAATGAAATAATATGAAAGGAGCACAAATGAGCACAGAGAGCCACCCAAGTTGACTCGACCCAACAGCCCAAGGATGCCCTCTTTGCATCTTGGATGACGGTGTGCCCTCAAACACATCCCAAAACCATTCAACTGCTGAAGCAACGAAGTACTTTCAAACCATCCTCCATCATCCTCCCACTTCGGGCCCCCAGTTTCGAGACGACTCGCCCTGCACTGGCAGGGCTCAAGTAGTTGTCAACCAGTTCTCGCCAGCTTTCTCGGACCTGACGACGCCAAGGCGGGATGTGCAGTGTCTTGCCTGCTGGACTATGACAATGATCATGGCCAAGCAAACCCAATAGAAAAACCTATGCACGGAGGTCCAGCACAACATACAGCTGCGCTCCATGAATCACAAAAGATTCTATACTTGAGGACAGTGGGGACGAAAGCGAGGGGTGTGGAAGGATCAAGGGGACGCGGAGGGAGGCGAGGTGGTTGTGTTTATTGAAAGAATCAATAAAAAGGGAGGGGGGGGCCCCCCCCCTCGGCTGACCCCTCCCTTTAATTCAAAGAATCAATTAGTTCACTGAACCTTGGGATCCACATGCTTTTGAACTTCCGGTGTCGTATGTGCTACTTTTCAGGCTTCTTCAGGCTTTTTGACGTATATGGTAGATGCACGAACTTGGAAGCCTGCGGACTTAGACTTAGTGCGATAGATCCATAGATCCTCAGGTGTATAAGGTACATATTTGCCCGGATTCTGCCCACAAACACCTGGGCCCTTGGTACCATCTGAGCGTGTCTGGGCAACCCGGTGGATAAACCACCACACAATACCACACGGGATTTTAAGCTATACAAAAAAGCATACAGGGTAATGTGACCAAGGAAGTCAGGAGCTCGACCAATCCCTTTCAGCCTACACCTGCCTCTCCTCGCGGACATAAAGGTGAATCCTCTCTCTAACGCAGTCTTGAACACCATGCATAAATGCTGTATGCAGTATACATAATTACTCGGTTAATCCCCGTTGCTACCGACTACCAAGGTGTGCTCGTTATTATGGCTCAAACTGACATTATATAAAATGGGTTCAGCCTTCAAAAGGTTGGTTCGCACAAAGTTTCTTGCGAAAGGGCTAACTTGACCAACCATCAAATCTGTCAGTCACATTGCATTTAATTGGAAGCTTAAACTGAATGAGATATATAACATGTCTGTTTCGCAAAAGCACAGTGTGCTTTTGAAGATCTGGTAGCAACGGGGATCCTCCACCCTTCACGTCAAAGATCCAAGGCCCCACGGGACCGGCCTCCTTGGAGGTCTTCGCGAAGCCGTAGCCTGGCAGGTCGACCAACTCCAGCGCCGCGCCCAACTCGAAGCGGAACAAGTGCCTCGTCCTAGCGGGGGCGCCAGCCGATTCGGGTCGCCTAGTTCGTCCGTTTTGCCAGGTTAAAGTGCCCGATCCCAATTGGAAGAGGTTCAGCATGAAGACTTCTCTTGTCTCTCTCTCTCTCTCTCTCTTCAACTGAAACGAGGGCTGCATTGATTCATGGGATGAGCCACCCGACCCTTGGGAGGAGCCAACAAAGCTGTTGACCGATTCCGCTCCTGCCCGGATTGTTGGAGACCGGTGCTGCTTTGGGATTCCGCAACTTCTTACCTTGGCCACCGGCGGAAACTCCGTGTCACCCGTTGCAGCCTTGTCTCTTCTCTCGCCTCATGCGGCCACTCAGATTGCATAGGTGAGACCTTCAAAGCTCGTGGTCCTGTAGTCCTGGAGCTTCAAAGCTGTGGCTAAAAAGAGTCAGGTCCAGGGTTTCTCGATTGCTGTCACTGCGGCATGCCATTCCATGTGCCCGCTATGGCATGCACAGTTGACCGAAGAGAGGTAGCTTTCAAATGTGTTTACACTAGGAAATTCGAAAATGTGAACACCTGCAGGAAGTGGCAAAGGTGAACGGATGAATGATTCTTCATGATTGACATGCACGTGCGCTCACCCCACATCTTCCCAAGAGCAGGAGCATGACACATCATCACGTGAAATGGTGTACAGTGGTTTCAGGGTAGATGGCACAATCCCCAAAGGGTGGTTTATATCGACCCCAATCTTTAAGAAGAGAGAAAACATGTAGCGGTTTGTGCCATCTACTCTGAACCCAATGTAATTCCAAAACATCCCAAAACAACAAAAATCACAATCTTCTCTGCTCGGGCCGAAGTGCTCTCGCTCAAGAAGGGCGACACAGGTGCGGGGCGCCCATGCAGGATCATGTTCCTCAAATTGCTAACGGCACGAGAGAAGGCTAATTGGATGTAATTGACCTCCATCTTCAGGCAGTAGTTGTTGGTATTCGCATGCGCATAATTTTCACACTTTCCGTGGCTGAAACATTGCCGTTGGACATCCTGCTTCAAGTCTATGGCGGCTTGCCTTTGCCACCCACATCCGTCTAGTCTGCACCACACACCAAAAATCAGCCGGCTATTTAAGGGACACACAAATTCCATGGGGTGTAGATAAACTCTGGAACCTGACTTTCTTATGCAAAGGCAGCGGTCGATACGGTCTCGAACGACATTCACGGCCCTGGCACCTTTTCTTCAAGTTCTTGAGCCAAATCAGGTTGGCGTCCACAGTGCAACGGCAAAGCCGATTACCGATGATGCAAGTCTTTACATGACAATTCCAGTCTTGGATAAGTGCTCCTAGACATCAACTATACATGACGTGTCATCTATACATGAAGTGTGCAACCTCACTCGAGCTCAGTTCTTCTTGGGGACGTTTCTAGCTGAGGGATTTCTTCTCCCCCCTCTGACTCCTGAGCTGCTCGACGGCTTGGGATCAGTTCTGAATCCCGGGCTATCCAGCTGGTTCGGAAAGGTTCTGTGGCACACTGTACGGAGGTATTCTCTTCGGCTTGTGTTTCTGCCGTTTCTTGTACCCTGGCTGGGTAGGGCCTGTCGTGCCCTGAGGTCCTGTCGCTACGTCTGTCGTTGGTGTGTCTGGCTGCAATGCCATCTGCTTGTCCAGCTTCAGGCCAGTGCCTGAGGTGTGCTTGATGGTGTACCCATCAAGGTGCACTCCAAGGTTTTGGAGGGTTTTGGGCCATAGTGCAGGCTCAACTGCTTTTGTGAAAGCATCGGCTTTCTGGTCGCTTGTTCCAACAAGGCTCAGTTCCACGTCATCGCGATCCAACTGTTCCTTCACCGAAGCCAAACTCACGCGATGTACGCGTTTGAGATGCCTCAGCTTCTTGGAGTATCCAGCAGTCACGACTTTCGCGCATGCAGTGTTGTCTTCGCGAAGCCTCAACAACACAGGACGCCCAAGCATTGCGGAATACAACTCAACCAATGGCAAACCCTCTTCAAAGAGCACATACGACAATGCGACAGTCTCTGCCTCCGTCGTGCTTCGACAAGTAGCCGTCTGTTTCTTCGACAGCCATGCCAAAGGAAACGATGTCCGCGGGCCAGACAACTGTAGCCATCCACCAGTGGTACTGTGGGTGTGTTCATCGTCTCCGCAGTAGTCTGCGTCTGCGAAAAGTTCAACAAACACATGCTCCGGCGCATCACGCACATACCCAAGCAACATAGCGTTCTTGGTGCACTCGAGGTAGCACATGGCACGGTACAGGTACGCATCACAAGCTTGCGTCCAGGACTGTACCATGGTTGCTAACCAAGTCACAACTCTCAGCAGGTCGGGACGAGCAAGGCGTGCCAACCACATCAGTCTCATTAGAATGCTGCTGGCTGAAGATGCCAGAGCACCACGCTCTTCTGCTCCAACGAACCCCTTGCTGAGAAACGGTGATGCGACTACCTTCATCTTCGGGCTGTTTGCAACCCTCAAGTACTCTTGAACAGTAGCCTCAGCGTAAGCACGCATGTCAAAGCCAAAGAACTCTGTGTTGTCAACCTCGACAGTGGAGTGGTGTCGACCAAGGAAGCGACCCAACGGTCCAATGTCATCAATCAACACCTTTTCACCCAACGCCTCCCAGAAAGGCTCGTGCCACTGACTTGGTCCTGAGAGAATCAAGTCGTCGACGTAGACAACCAATGCCAATCCTCCGAAGGTGGGGATGGTGAAGGTGGATGCAAACTCTTCAACCTTGACTGCTCCTAAGAGACACAACTGTTCTTCAAGAAACTGTTGCCAATGGGCCCCAGCTTCTGGGTGCCCGTATAGCGATTTGCGCAATCTAATGATTGGTCTTTTGAAGCGAGGGTAGCCGCTTGGGGTGAACCAAGACTCAGGCCACAACTCTCTTGGGAGACGGATGTATGTGGCAGCCAAACTCTTCAATTCCGATTGAAGGTACGCCTTAACGGCGTCTGCCGATGACAACTTGCGTCCCTCAAAAAGACCAAAAGAAATAACGCTATTGGCTGCAACGATCGAAGCAGGAGACGCAGCTAACGTCTGGTAAAGTGCTAGCTTTCCTTCAGCCGTCTTTGCAGAATCACCACGATAACACACGCGACCTTTCAGAGCACGAAGCTCTGGAGCCAACTCAACGTGTTTTTCGCTGCAAATAGCAAGCAAGTCTGCAATGTGAATCGTCTCTCCACTCTGCAATGCAGCCTCCTTCACGCGGAACTCTTCATCAACCGACTCAAGCTCCCATGTTCCCATGGAACCAACACCATCGAACTCCTTACGGATCGCCTGCAGTGCATCAGGTCGGGACAACACTTCGTTCCGGGTGAGCTGTCTCGTCACCAGGGCATACACCCCAGCCGCAACGTCTTCCGGTGGGACATACCCCTCGGGAAGCTCATCAGGAGAGTACTCGGGACCTTCAGTGGTCTCCGGCTCAACCCAATGTTCCTTTTCTACTGCTCCTGTGGAAGAGGAAGAAGAAGTTTTCTCTGAACTCTTAGGCATTGGAAGCGGTCCAGGTGTCTTCGGTGCTCCGACATCTGGCGCCGGTGTAGGCGGCGCTGCAGCTTCTCTAGGGAAGATGGCATCAAATCGCTCGCGACATGCCTTGTTGTGGCGGTAGTGGCCACCATCACATCCAGGGCAACCCTTCGTAAAACCATGCTCCAACAAACGTGAAAAAGTAATGTATGCATGACGTGGGGGTGCAACTGGGGTATCTTCCGGAAAAGCATCAATGTCAATGTCATACGGGAGCACGCCCGACTCAAGAGATCTGTCATAGATCTTCTTCTTCACCTCAACATCAGGGTCAGACATTTCCTTCAACGCCTTCATTGCCGCGTTGGACAAGGGAAATTCAATGTGCTCAACAGGAGGGAAAAACACCTCCTTCTCATGCAAGTCCTTGGGACTCCAATGCAAATGCGCCCTTGCACGGACAGCTTCATAGTCAACAACTTGTACGACATTGCGATATCGCAAGCCTGAGTCAACACGCCATCCAGCAAACAAGCCTGGTCTTGTAGTTGGAGCGGCCATTCCATCGCTCTTGGCCCTGTAGAAAACAAGTGCACCAAGAGGGTACTTCACTCCAAGGAAGGGCTCACCTGCGCAAACCTCCCAACGGGTCTTGCCAGTCTTGAGCTCCTCAATCTCCGTCCCACGCTCATGCTTGCGAATCACACAAGGCGACCAAAAGGCACGAGCTTTTGCAGTGTAAACAACGGAGATCGGCCACATCTTCTTGCTGAAGCCGGCCTGGAGATGTGCTGGTCTGCGCAACTCTTTCAACGTCCTCACCTCACGTTCGACGTGGGCCGCGTGAGGCCAATCCCTGGGGATGCTCGGGGATGTTGTCCAGCACAGCCTGGATGCCGCTCCGGTCAACTCACCGGCTGCATCTGATTTAAAAATGACACCGGTATCACCGTTCAACCTATGGCCACCGAAGTGTTTCAATGAGTTGTAACAGGATTCTTCTGACCTGTCTCTGGCCGGATAGGCCATGCTCAGACCGGAGAAGAGATCAACGATCACTAGAGCCACCTTCTCCCCAGCGCTGCTCACGCTCTCTTCCGACGGAAACATGTGGTCGGCTTCGAGCACACGGCCAAAAGCAGCCGAGCGCTCGTACGCTTCATCACTAGGCTCAGGTCGAACTCCGTGGGCATATCTTTTCAACATTCGACCACGCACGCAATGCTCACAAAAAGGATTCTTCTTCGCGTGGGTCGTGATGTGGTCTAGGCTCTTTGCCTCACGCTTCAACCTATCATCTCTCGACTCTGCAAATTCAGCTTCGTCATCCGCGGGAGCAAGGTCATCTTCAAGCTCGGCGGGATTGCAAAGGTATCAACGGTTTCAATGACCAACGGTCCACGGTAGACCTGTTCCTTTGGCTCCTTCTCGACATGCTCCTGGGCAACCACGCAAACAGCTGCCTCGCAAACGGGCATGGCGGGCACCTCCTTGAAAACAAGGTCAGGAAACAAAGAAGAGAAGACGATCTCACACATAATCTCTGGGTATCTTGCAGTCGTGCTCGTGTTGGAACCTGTGATGGGTGCATGTTTGAAATCAGCATCATGCCTGCATCGACACTCGCTCAAGTTCTTCGCGAGGTTCTCGTTAGTTGTTGCCACTCGCCACTTCTTGAGGAACGGCGTGCCCTGCCGATCAACAAGCCCAACCGCACAACCATCAAATTCTTCCACTGTCATGCCAATGTCTCGAATGAGCTGGCACAATGCAGCCTGCTTCCAACCCAACGCATGTCTGGGCCATTCAAAATGAACATCCCCACCATGCTCAACAACACATCTAGCAAGCTCGCAAAAGCGATCAAGCAGCTTCAATGACAAGTCTCTCGACTTGGCCAACTTCTTTCTGAACTCTGCCCCAAAACGGTGTGCATTGAGGTATTGCCATTGGCTCCACGGGCCACAAGGAAGGCTAGCCCACAAATCAATACCTGGGTGTTCACGAATGAAGTTCTTCAGGTGCGACGTGGTACTCTCATACTCTAAATTGTTCACCTCCTTGGTACAACGTGTGACCTTGACGTTCAACCTCTCACCAACAACACCTAGGTTGGAGTCCGGCTCGGTGCACAACTCAATGAGCATGCCACGGCCCTTGAGGCCAGTCTGCCTCGAACGCTGCTTCACAGTGCTCGCAGTCAAACAGGTTGGGTCAGTCTGCATTTGTGGTTGTTCAAAACTCTCGAGCTCCTTCATCACCTCGACGGCCAATGCCTCAAAGCGTTTTGCTATCTTGCCTTTATTGGCCTGGGCCTGTGTGGTGTAGAACTCAACCATGTCACGCATCATCACAACCATGGACAACTCACCACGCGGAAGCTTCTTTTGCCCCTTCTC